TTAGTTCTTCTGACTGCCTCCAGGATATTCTGCACTGTAGGAATATGGACTGTGGAATGCAAACCACAGAGACTTGTTAGATGCAAGCAAGGAGACTTATACAGACACTTTAGCCACCTCAAAAGTTAATGCAACCCCCCCCCCAAGAACTCCTCATGCCCAAAGTAAAGGTAATGGGACCCATAACCGTTAAGTCCAGTCGCGGACAACTCTAGGGTTGCGGCGCTCATCTCGCTTTACTTGCCGAGGGAGCTGGCATACAGCTTCCAGGTCATGTGGCCAGCATGACTAAGCCACTTCTGGCGAACCAGAGCAGTGCACGGAAACGCTGTTTACCTTCCCGCCGGAGCGGGACCTATTTATCTACTTGCACTTTGCGCTTTCGAACTGCTAGGTTGGCAGGAGCAGGGACCGAGCAACGGGAGCTTACCCCGCCGTGGGGATTTGAACCGCCAACCTTCTTGATCGGCAAGCCCTAGGCTCTGTGGTTTAGACCACAGTGCCACCCGTGTCCCTCATGCCCTACTTGTGAGCATTCCCACTTTTGAGCACCACAAGTAAAAACTGTGAATGGTGCGAGAGGAAGCCACTAGAGGGATCTCACTCCCAAATTTAAGGGGCTCTCCTTGTTCCTAATCACTGGGAGAGCCACTGGGAGAGCCAGTGTGGTGTAGTGGTTAAGAGCGGTAGTCTTGCAATCTGGGGAACCGGGTTCGCATCTCCGCTCCTCCACATGCAGCTGCTGGGTGACCTTGGGCCAGTCACACTTCTCTGAAGTCTCCCAGCCCCACTCACCTCACAGAGTATTTGTTGTGGGGGAGGAAGGGAAAGGAGAAATGTTAGCCGCTTTGAGACTCCTTAAAGGGAGTGAAAGGCAGGATATCAAATCCAAACTCTTCTTCTTCTTCTTCTGCCTCAGGGCCAAGAATGACTTTGCTCCTTGTCACTTGAGGAAAAGAAGGAGGAAAGGGAAGAGCTTAAGGTGTGGCATGCCTGCTAGACATGCAGAAAACCCTCTGGTTCAATCCCTGACATCCTCAGGTAGGGTCAAAATGTCCCTTGCCTGAAACCCTAGAAAGCCACTGCCAGTCAGGACAGACAATACTAAAGTAACTAGACCATTGGTCTGCCTTGATATGAGGCAGCTTCCTGGTTCCTCTTTCAAGTAGCACTTTGTTCAGAACCACGGGGACTGAAATAATGGCAGCTGAGCTGTTTTGGGACCCCTTAATATTTTTTGGGGGGAGGCCCGATGTCCTGGGTGCTCTGGAGCATGGGTGTGGAGTGGTGTTTCCGCCCCCATCGTTCTGCCCAGACACTGAGGTCCAGCTCCGAGGGCCTTCTGGCGGTTCCCTCCCTGCAAGAAGTGAGGTTACAGGGAACCAGGCAGAGGGACTTCTCGGTGGTGGCACTCACCCTGTGGAACGCCCTCCCATCAGATGTCAAGGAAATGAGCAGCTATCTTATTTTTAAAAGACATCTGAAGGCAGCCCTGTTTAGGGAAGCTTTTAATGTTTGATGGATTACTGTATTTTAATATTCTGTTGGAAGCCGCCCAGAGTGGCTGGGGAAACCCAGCCAGATGGGTGGGCTATTAATAATAATAATAATAATAATAATAATAATCCCAACTGTGGGGTGCTCCAGTGATTGGGGCAGGGCTCCCTGCATGGGGCAGAGGGCAGCGCTTGTCTCTTCCCGACCACAGAGCATGGGTATCTCGGTGCAGCATCCGGCCTTCTCCCAAGCACATATTGCATGTTGCATGCGTGATGTCACAAGCACACATCACGTGTGTGTGACGCCAGCCCCCCTCAATCTTTAGCGCAAGGTGGCGCTGCTGATGAGGATCATCTAGTTCAACCCCCTGCGATGCGGCAATCTTTTTGCCCAAAGATTGAGGTGCTCAGACCCATAGCCTTGAGATTAAGAGTCCCGCGCTCTATTGACTAAGCTACCCCACAGGCTTTTGTCTACTAAAGTATTTATCGGCTACTTTGCACGCAGAAGCCAGGTCAGGCTGGACAAGACTCCCTGCCTGAAACCTTGCAGAGCCACTGCCAGTCAGTGTGGGCAGCACTGCAGGAGAGGGACCAGTGGTCTAACTCTGTATAGAAGGAACTTCCTATGCCTCTATTCAAATCAGAACCATGAGGACTGGGGACTTGCATTCTTTTGAGGGGAAGGAGCATGTGCTCAGCAGACAATGACTTGACTTGGTACAGAGCAGCTTCTCATGAGTGAAGAACCTTGAATGAGTCTTTTTTAACTACCTTACTGCATCTCCTAATTCATTGTGTCTCGCTGCAGTCTGATCTATCTTAAGTGTTTTGTCTTGTTTTTAATTCCCAGGGTAGAGTAGCAATTAGCCTGAAAGGGACTGGGTGTGTGTTTGTCATCTTTGTCAAATAACTCTTCTGGGGGCTCGTGGACTGATGGGGATGAGGAGAGCAGAAAGCAACCGGGACTCGCCTTCGCAGCCCATCTTGTTCCAACATGCCAGAGCAGTTGCAACTATTAGCCCAGGGGGAGGATCAAAAGTTTGCGGCTTCTCCAGACAGATAATTGGAAGGAGCTATTTCTTTTAATTCAGGGTCATAACCTCCCAGGTTACCTAAAGGTGCTTTATTGCTGGAGGGGTGGGGAAAACGTGACTCCCATGGAGCCTCTCTCTCCAGTGGCAGTATATCTGTGAATAGCAGATCCTAAGAGAGGGTGATCTCCTCTACGTCTTCCTTAGGAGCTATGGGACTGGCTCTACCATGAGGCAGATTGAGGCTGCAGGTTCAGTTGGCAGGTGCTGTGGGGTGTGTGCAATAAGCTTGAGGTGTTGGAGGATGGAGAAAAGAAAGAAAATGGACTTATATTGAGTCACACCACTGGTCCAGCTAACTCAGCATCGTTGACACTGGTTGGCAGCAGCTCTCCAGGGTTCCAGACAGGACTCTTTCCCACTTCTACCTAGAGTTGTTGGGGATAGAGCTGGCAGCCTTCAAGGTTCTGAATAAAGGGTTGGTGCAAAGAGAAAGATCAGAAGTTTCCTTATGGAATCAGAACATAAGCCCATCTCACTCAGTATTGTCTGCACTGATTGGCAGCATCTCTACAGTGTTCCAGACAGGGGTCTCTCTCAGACTTACCTGGTGTCATAAGCTGGCTGGATGCCCAGGAGTGGTAGGAGGCACCGGCCAGGGAACCCTCAGGGGAAGAAGGCTCAGAGCCAGGGGTTTGGTGGTGGGACGATGATGAGTGGTCAGAGGGAGAAGGAGAGGACTGGGAGGAGGAGATGTCAGAAGCAGAAGAGAGGACAGGGTCTGGTGAGCAGGAAGAGGCTGCAGCAGAACACAGTTCAGACTTTGAGGCAGAAGCAGGGGGCTGGAGAGGGGTGGAGCCAGGAGACTGAGGGGCAGGAGGCTGAAGAAGTCAGGGAGTCTCCTCCTGCTGCTGAGACCAGGTCCCCTTCACCCTGGTCACCTAGAACATGCTGAGATATGAAATGGCCAGAGCAGAGGGTGGTTGTGCACAGACACAGTCTGACACTGCATGGGAAAGACCCTGGAGAGGAGGAATTCTAGTGGACACTGGGGAAATGGGGACCTTCAGGCATCACAGCTGCTTCAGCAGAGCAAGACCTCCTAGAAAGAGTTGCTGAGACCACTAGACCTGAACTGTGGATTGTTTCCTTGAATAAAGAGTTATCTTCACTGGCCTTGGGTGATTTATTGTTTCATTGCTGACACATGCCTGACTCCAGCCCTGACACCTGGAGATGCCGGTGATTGAAGCTGGAACCTTTGGTACACAAGGCAGATGGTCTGCCATTGAGATATGTCATAGTTTATACCAGCCTCCTCCAGTTTGGTGCTCTCCCGATGCAGCTCTCAACATCCTTGACTCTTAGCCATGCTAGCTGGGAGTGATGGACCCCAGAGTTGGTATGGGTATTGTTATGTAGATGGATGGGGGGGGAGGAAGTGCCATCACCTCCCCCGGATAGTGAAGGGTAGTCCGATAAAGGATTCCGGGGTGTGTGGCCCTGTCTGAAGCCTATGGAGGTGAGGGTCTAAGGCACGCCCCCGAGCGGTGACCCTGGGGGAGTTCCTAGTTGATGTGCATCAGCAGGGCTCCCCCTGCTGGTGTTAACCCTTCCTGGTCTTCATCAAGCAGGCTGTAGCCGGATAGTTGATTAGGACCGCTCATCACCTGTAACCAATAAAGTTGTGACCAGTTTTAGCCCATTAACCAAAAATACGGTGTCATTTGTCTTTATTGCTACTGGGGGGAGGTGGGAACTTGCCACGCAAGGCAGATGCTCTGCCATTGAGATATGTCATAGTTTATACCAGCCTCCTCCAGTTTGGTGCTCTCCAGATATGGTTGAATTGCAGCTCTCAACATCCTTGACTCTTAGCCATGCTAGCTGGGAGTGATGGACCCCAGAGTCCAACCACATCTGGATTCTAATTCCAAAATTTATCACCCAACAGAGCAAGGTGAGCAACCTGAGTGGCCCCACTCAGATGTTGTTCAACTCCCACCATCATCCATGCCCATAGGCCATGCTGGCTGGGAGCTGATGGGAGCTGGAATCCAACAAACGCCTAAAGGTCAAGGATTTTCCCTCCCTGTTTTACACCTCTGTAAGTGCACTTAAAATATGGTCCCTGATTGGTTGGGACATGTGTCCAGGACAGGTTTGAGGAATCTGAGGTTCTCCAGATACTATTGGACTATTGGAAAGCCACCACAGGTGAGGACAAAGGTGGGGGTAAAGCTTGCATGCAAATTCTGCACCAAAGTTGTCACGCATGGACAACAAACATGATGAGATTAAGCTGAGCGCATGGGGCCAACAGAGTCAATGAGAAAACAAGGAGTCAAATTGATTGCTTATAGTGGTACTTTAATCTCTTGCTGGCTGAGGTACATAAGGAAGCTAAGCATCATTGCAGATGCAACATGGAAAGTGTAGAAAGAAAGGAAAGACCAGATACAGAAAACCCTGCTTTGGTAGTTACAGCCCTTTGATAGGCTTATTATTATTTTATCCAGATGTTCAATAAAAAAAGACACCCCCCAAGTAGCTTACAAATATCAGTGTTGAGACATTCCCTGCCCTCAGGTTCCCAGTCTAAGAGACATGCCACAAAAGGAAAAGGGTCTGGGAGGGAGAAGGAAAAAACAAGCTCGGGAAGTCAGTTATGGGGATTTTGTAATAAGCAGCAATAACTGGAGGTGGGGAGAATGGAGAAGAGCCAGAAGTTGCTGGTCATTCAGCAGAGCCAATGGAGATGGTCTGGCAGTCCCGTCTCCATCCACCTCTCATAGCTGTGTGGTCCTCAGAAGCCTTTGTGACTTGCCAGGATAAATATATGCATGAAATCAGCTTCATAGGAAATAATAGAGTTCTGTGGCTAATGAAAGTAGAACAGGAGGTCATGATGTTGACTTCAGGAGTTGTGGTGCCTTCTACCTCTTGATGGCTGACTCTGTGAAGGTAACTTAGTATGACTGGGTGCCATGAGGGTGACAGGCTGGAACTTGGTCGTCACAATCTTTCCCAGTTGGCCATTGCCCTGGCTCTTGGCTCAGAGATCCACCTGACCCCTGCCAATGAGATCCAGTTGAGCTGTGACAGTCATATCCACCTGACCCTTGGCCATAAGATTCAGTTGAGTTGTGACAGACATAGCCACCTGATCCTTGGCCATAAGATCCAGTTGAGCTGTGACAGTGACAGCCAGTTGACCCATGCCACTGAGGCTCATTGGACTTTGCAGGATTCCCACAGGGCCCTGGTGGGCACACAGAGGGCTGTTTGCACTGTTGCTTCTGTTGATGAGACATTGTCTTTGACTTTAGGCTGACCTGGAAGAAGAAGAAGAAACTGCATTGGAACTCCCACACTCCATCACAATGATGTACCACTTTGCAGAATTAATATTGGAATCTTTGGAAGCAACCTAACCTCACAGCATGCCCTAAGTTTAGCCACTCCCAGTTAATGGTACATCCATAAATTGGGGCGTGCCCATTATCTCTGGAACCCAGGGACCTGAATTCCTGCCTAAGCTCATCCAAGCAAGGACAAAAAGGAGCTAGGGAGGGCCTAGCAGCTTGCTGTGGGAGAGCACATGTTGTGGCACGCAAGGGCTCAGGTTCATCTGAAGTTGAGAGAGGAAAGACCTGCGCCTGAGGCCTTGGTTGGGTACCTAGAGCTGAGTGGGTAGAGCACCTGTCCCATGTTCAATCCCCAACATCTCCAGGTGAGCTGGGAATGGCCCTGTCTGAAACCCTGCCAGTCAGTGTAGACAAAGCCGAGTTAGCTGCACCAGTGGCTTAACCTGGTGCAAGGCTTACATCCGTGTTTAAAGTGGTCCAGTATACCTGAAGGAGCGTCTCCACCCCCATCGTTCTGCCCGGACACTGAGGTCCAGCTCCGAGGGCCTCCTGGCGGTTCCCTCATTGCGAGAAGTGAGGTTACGGGGAACCAGGCAGAGGGCCTTCTTGGTAGTGGCACCCATCCTGTGGAACACCCTCCCTTCAGATGTGAAGGATATAAGTAGCTATCCTATCTTTAAAAGACATCTGAAGGCAGCCCTGTTTAGGTAAGTTTTTAATATTTAATGCTGTATTGTTTTTAACACTCGATTGGAAGTCGCCCAGAGTGGCTGGGGAAACTCAACCAGATGGGCGGGTTATCAATAAATTATTATTATTATTATTATTATTATTATTATTATTATGAACCATGAGGACTGGAATATTACTCTTTACAGGGCAAGGGCTGTAGCTAAGCAGCAGAGCACCTACTTTGCATGCAGAAGGTACCATTTTCAATCCCTATCATCTCCAGGTAGTCTAGAACCCTGGAGGACAACTGACCATCAATGTAGACAAAACTGAGGTGCTGAGAGAACAAGATAGTTGGGTACCTGCATTGCTTTTCACCCAGGAGATACTCAAGAGCATGTAGTACCGGCACCTCTTTTGTTATTAAAAAGTGTGACAGTTACTGTAACAACTTCATGGTGAGTACCAGCAGCTCTTTTTCGGGGGGGGGGGAGCACTGGGTACCTGGGTCACTGACCTGACCTAGCAGACTCATCTTATATTCCTAGGTAGATGGATTTGATATAAAGCATCTGTGTTTCATCCCCGCTGGCTTCAGACCTTATCTAAGTTAAGCATGCAGAACTGAAGCAATCACTCGCTGCTTCCATGTTGACCCGTGGTGACTGGTGCCTACTGGGATTGGTGGGGTAGAAGGCAGGGAGCCCAAAGAATTGGTGTAACCAGAGTCAATGAGAACCAAGGAGTTCTAGTTTTGTCCCCATCCTCCCTGTTCAGTTCTACAAGGACAACATTGAAACTAAGCCAATAGTGGCTGGTGCCCATTATGACAGGTGGGGCATAAAGCAGGGAGACAGTAAGGTAAAGGGACCCCTGCCCATTAGGTCCAGTCGTAGCCAACTCTGGGGTTGCGGCGCTCATCTTGCTTTACTGGCCGAGGGAGCCAGTGTACAGCTTCCGGGTCATGTGGCCAGCATGACTAAGCCACTTCTGGCGAACCAGAGCAGTGCACGGAAACGCTGTTTACCTTCCCGCCGGAGCGGTACCTATTTATCTACTTGCACTTTGATGTGCTTTCGAACTGCTAGGTTGGCAGGAGCAGGGACCGAGCAACGGGAACTCACCCCGTTGCGGGGATTTGAACCGCCGACCTTCTGATTGGCAAGTCCTAGGCTCTGTGGTTTAACCCACAGTGCCACCCACGTCCCTTTAGGGAGACAGTAGGGGGAGTCAGAAAGCCAATGGCAGGTGGAACCAAAAGTCTTTTCTTTCTTTCTTTCTTTCTTTCTTTCCTTCCTTCCTTCCCTCTCTCTCTCTCTCTCTTGCAATTATTCCAGTGACTACCATTCATGCCGCAAAGCAACTTGCAACCACTTGCAACTTTTTTCAACTGGACTTTAAAAGCATATATCTCTTTAATCCCTGGGCCCTGTGGTGGCAGGGGCCCATTGGGGCTTGTAGGGTGGAAGGCAGGGAGCCCAACAGTAGGGAGCACCAGAGAGCCAATGGCAGGTCACACCAGCTAATTCTAATATTGTCCCCATCTACCTCCCTGATGGGTTCAACAAAGGCAACACTGAGGCTAAGATGCTGATTGTCTGGGCAACCACTTTGGACTGGTTGCAAGACAGTAGGCTTCATCTAACCCAGTGCCCTATAGACCACAATGATCAGTGATGTGCCTACACAGGAACCAAAGAAGATCCCTGCAGCATCCTGTTCTCACAGTGGCCACATAACCCTATGATCCTAGGAATCTAGATAGTCTGCCTCTGGACTTGGGGATTCCATAAGAACATGAGAACCATGATGGATCAGTCCAGTAGTCCATCAAGTCCCACATTCTGTTCTTACAGTGGCCTGAGTGGAACAGCACTCTCCTCACTAGTGATTCCCAGCAACTGGAATTTTTCAGAGGCATCCTGTCTCCAACAGTGAATGGAGAATATAGCCATCATAGCTGATAGCCCTTTGCTCAATGAATTTGTCCAATCCTCTTTTAAATCCAATCAACTACGGAGCGAGTCACTGATAGCTACTGACAGATCTCCTCCATGAATGTGTCCAATCCTTTTTCAGAGCCATCCAAGTTGGTGGCCATCACTACCTCTAGTGGGAGAGAACTTCATAGCATGCACTGTGTGAAGAAGGCCTTCCCTTTGTCTATCCTGAATCTTCCAACATTCAGCTTCATTGTATATCCATGAGATACAGTGGTACCTCGGGTTAAGTACTTAATTCATTCCGGAGGTCCATACTTAACCTGAAACTGTTCTTAACCTGAAGCACCACTTTAGCTAATGGGGCCTCCTGCTGCTGCCACGCCGCCAGAGCACGATTTCGGTTCTCATCCTGAAGCAAAGTTCTTAACCTGAAGCACTATTTCTGGGTTAGCGGAGGCTGTAACCTGAAGCATATGTAACCTGAAGCGTATGTAACCCGAGGTACCACTGTAGAGAGAAAAACATATACCTATCCACTTTCTCCATACCCAATCAGCTGGTGATGCAACCTCCAGTCCTGAGGATGGGATATTTGCACCCAACACTCCCACTCTTGGAGGGAGTGACCTCAGTTTCCAGGTCTCTAAGGGCTGAACCCTGATAGACATGAAGTTGGCAGTCCTCTCCACAAGGGATACACCCAGATTCTGGAACTGAGTGGTATACATGACATGGAGTTGATCTTTAAGCATCATGGTTAAGAGATGAGAGACATCTCCTCTTCCTTCTCCTCCATGAACCTGTCGACTCCTCTGTTAGCATTGTCTAAGTGGGTAGGTACTCCCAGCAAGATATGTCAGCCCTCTACTGATGGCAGCCATCAAGAATCTCTTAACAATAGAAACAGTAGTCCACTTACCCAACACGGTCCACTGAGAAGGATGGAAGAAGGCAGAAGCAGAAGACTGGTTGGTGAAAGCTGGGAAGGGAAGATCTTTTATAGGTCTCTTGACCACTGCAGGAAAGAGATGTGAGTCTCCAGTGATTTAAGTCTGACGTGATGTGACTCTCCAGTGATTTAAGCTCATATCCACCCCGTTGTCACTTATAGAGTTTTATGAGAAGGATATGTTTCCTTTCCTGAAGCAAACACCCTTTTCTATGAGAATGTTCCCAATTTTATGAGAGAGCAGAACCTGCTTGCGAGAGGACAGCGGATGAGGACGGGGTCTGGTCATGTCAGGTGATAATGCTGCAGCAAACTGCCATGGCTGACTTTTGCTGGTATCTGAAATATTTAGGGTCTTGTCCCCACAAGCTTATCTGCTAAAGGATGCCCATCTGGCAGAGGTCTTCTCCAGTGCTGGCTAGCTGAGATCCTTTTAAAATTTGATATGCCACTGAACGGACGTAGTACCATCTTCCTGGGCCCTCAGAAATGATATTGTAGAGTTGGGGAAAGAAATTACCAATGACTCCCTGATGAGGAAAGGTCACATCATTTGGGACTTTTTAGTTTAGAGTAAAGGCAAGTAGGATGCGGGTGGCGCTGTGGGTTAAACCACAGAGCCTAGGACTTGCCGATCAGAAGGTCAGTGGTTTGAATCCCTGCGACGGGGTGAGCTTCCGTTGCTCAGTCCCTGCTCCTGCCAACCTAGCAGTTCGAAAGCACGTCAAAGTGCAAGTAGATAAATAGGTACCGGTCAGGCGGGAAGGTAAATGGTGTTTCTGTGTGCTGCTCTGGTTCACCAGAAGCGGCTTAGTCATGCTGGCCACATGACCTGGAAGCTGTACGCCGGCTCCCTCGGCCAGTAAAGCGAGATGAGCGCCGCAACCCCAGAGTCGGCCACGACTGGGCCTAATGGTCAGGGGTCCCTTTACCTTTACCTTTTAAAGGCAAGTAAGATGTAACATGATAGGAACTAATGAAACCATGTTTGCCATGGAGGGAAAACTCATGGACATTCAGTGAAGCTGAACCTTGGAAGATTCAGAACAGATAAAAGTAAGTCATTTTTTTATACAACACATGAGGACCACCAACTTGGATGGCTTTGAAAGAGGATTAGACAAATTCATGGAAGGCAAGGCCATCAAAGGCTGCTAGCCATGATGACTATACTCTGCCTCCACAGTTAGAGGCAGTGATGCTTCTGAATTCCAGTTGTTGTGACTGGACAGTACAGGTGGGCAGAGTCCTGTTGCATCTCAGAATGTGCTTGCAGGCTTCCCAGGGGTATGTGGCTGGCCACTGTGAGAACAGCATGCTGGACTAGCTGAACCTCTGGCCCATCCAGCAGGGCTCTCCTTATATGCTCTTGAGCCAGACCATCTAGCTCAGTATTGTCACTGGCAGTCATTCTGCAGGGTTGGGGACGGCGGTGGAGAGAGAAGGGGTTGCAGGAAGAGAAAAAGGAAATGGGTGACACATAGAGAGAAAGGGGTGGCGGAGGGAGAAATGGTGAGAGACAGAGAAGAGAGGAGAGAAGAGAGAGAGAGAGAGAGAGAGAGAGAGAGAGAAGAGAGGAGAGAAAACAGAGAGGAAGGAAGGAAGGAAGGAAGGAAGGAAGGAGAAAGGAAGGATCCTGCTTACTTTTATTCTTCACCATTTTGGGCTTTAATCCTGCTTATTATTACCGCCAGGGCATAAGAACACAAAAGGTTCTCAAATCCTTTTCTGAACTAAAAATGCCTGAATACTGCAAGACTTGGCACTCTTAAGTTCTTAAACAATTCATTTGCTCCCTGAAGCACTTCCACCACTTCCAACAGACTGCATCATAGATTTATGTATAAATGCATGAGAAGGCAGGCAGTTTTATTCTGAACTCTGCTTCCCAAGCTTGGGCAAACTGAAGACGTCTTCCCTAACTCAAGCACTCTGAAATGGGACAATTTTTGCCCCAGAGAGCACCCAGCAGCTATACTCTCTCAGGGTAGTCTCCAACTAGGTTCTGCTTAGACTAGGCCCACTGAAGTTCATGAACCTCAGATTCATCAGGTCTACTCTGAGCAGGACCAGTGCTGATTTCATCCCTTACTCCGCACCCCACCGCAAGCCACACACTTTGGGAGTAGTCCAGTTGAATGTAGCAAGTTCTTTCTTCTGACAGCACTGGGATGGTTCTTCTGCCCATGAGTCCTGTGCCAGACAGGATGGCGGGGTTGTAAATCCTACATGTGCCCTTTCTTCAGGGATCTTTCAAGACATGAATTAAATTGGACATGTTGTTCTTGCAAAGGGTGGTGTCCCTCGTTATTCTTTTCTTCTTGGAAAAAGTAGAGAATCGGGTGGAAAAGGCCCTGACAATGTCAGAAGGGTGGATTCTCCATGTGTCAATCTCAATTGACTTGTAGGACCAGCGTCATCCTCATTTCCTGATGAGACGGTGCTTACAGGGCCTATATAAAGCCCTTCTTTTTCTCACTCGGAAAAGCACCCAGCTCTCCTTCTCAACTCACCTGTGTTGGCATATTGTCGGGTAAGTTGGTTCTTGGCTTGAATTTCCCCCGTGCTGATAAGGAAAACTTTTCGACAGCTTCTTCCTGCCATTTCATGGAAGAAAAGAGAGCATGGCCACTATGCCTATGCTATGTTTGGAGGAAGCATACCAGTTTCTGAAACTTATGCCTTTCTGAATCTTAATCTCAGGAGAGAGAACAATACCACTTTACTTAGTTGTGGTTACTCCTAAAACAGAGCATTTACTTTTCAGTAAGAATGAGCCTGTAATTCTCCTCCTCCAAAATTTCTCCCTGGGTTTATTTATTTATTTAAAACATGGATATACTGCTATTTCATAGAAGTAGAAGAAGCAGA